GACTCATTTTCTGTATTACATGTTAAATTGATAAAAAAGAAAATAAATACAAAGTAGAAAATAATCGCTGATGAAATTAGATCCAAGTTCATCTATACTCGTCTATTTTTTTTTTCTTATTTGATTTATTTTCGTAATGAAAACTATGGGCTTGCTGGGATACCAATATTCATTCCATACCCAATTCAACTCAAAATCTAACTCAATCTTAAGTCAATCCCACTGTACTCAATATTTAACTGTTCTAAAAATCGGCCTAGGCGGCGTCTAGGCTCTAGGCAGTGCCCGTGCGCCTCCGATTTGTATAAATCGGCAGAAAAAATCGGCCAGACGGCTAGATGCCGCCTAGGCGGCCCGAGGTGCTCCTAGGCGGGCTTGGCGGGCTCGGCGGCAAGGCGGTTAGGCGGCGTCTAAGTGGACGTAGGCGGACCTAGGCGCTCTTAGGCGGGCTCGACGGCAATTTTTCAGTTTTTTTTTTTTTTAAATACTAATTAGATTATTTTGTTCTCATGTTTCCTTTAATATATATTAATATTATTATTTAGACTTTGGTGTGTGAATTTATTATATGTTGAGATAGTTTTATTTTGTAGGTAGTTAAAATAAATAAAAAATAAGGTATTTAATATTGATTTCTGGGTCCCGACTAGGCGCTCCAGCGCCTAGCGGGCGCCTAGCGATTTTTAGAACACTGCAATATTTTCAATATAATTGAATAATAACAACCAATCATTCTTACACATAATATCAACTTTAATTTACTATTCATCTACGCACATAATTTTAACTAACTATCACTTCACATCATCTCTCTCCTACATTTATATTAAATTATTATTTTTTAAATATTATTTTAATATAAACTTAAAATCCCACTAGTAACTAATCATACAATGTTTTTATAATTATAACAATAGTCAACCAAAATAATCCATTTTGAGCAAAATTTTTGCATCCAACTATCCAAACAAGCCCTATACATCTGAAATTGATCATAAACAGTACTAAACTACAATCCACGTATACAGTTTTGTTTTACCATAAAAGCAATATAATACAATTTTGTTGGGAAAAATTTAAAACTAGTCTCACATGTTGATTTTGGTCCCGCAAGATTGTTGAAGTCACAAATAGTCCCACAACTTTCATAAAATAAACAAAAGTAGGACTTTTTCTGCGATTTTGGGGTGCAAAGGTGGCGTTTTTCCTTGACATACTGGCAGTCGTCATCACACGTGGCATGACACTAAACCTGTGGGACTAGTTTTGAAAATTTTTCTATTTTTTATATTGTTATGCTCTTCTTTTGTTATATAAATTATTATATTTTAATTAATATAAATATATTATTAAGTAATCTAAGACAACATTATGAATATATATAATTATTTATTATAACTATTTATAAACAATTTCAATTATGAATAAGGATACAATATACATTAAAATAAAATTAAAAAATATTTTTAATTGCTTTTATTTTGTTATGTGTTATTTTTAATATGTATTCTTTTAGCTTCTATCTAATATTAAATTATTACAAAAAAATATTTTTATTCATCAGATAGTTATAGTTAAAAGAATAATAGGTATTCTTTTAACTACAATTATCTCATGAATAAAACTATTGTATTATTCTATTAACTATAATTATTTGATGAATAGAAATATTTTTTTTAATAATTTAATATTAGAAAGAAAATACCTATTAAAAATAACACATCAAAATAAATGCGATTAAAAATATTTTCTAATTTTCCTTTAATGTACATTGTATCCTTATTCATAATTGAAATTGTTTATAACTAATTATATATATTTATAATGTTGTCTTTGATTTACTTAATAATATATTTATATTAATTAATATATATACATAATAATTTATATGACAACAGAAAAGTATAACAACATAAAAAATAAGAAAAATTTCAAATCTAGTCCACAGGTTTAGTGTCATGCCACGTGTAATGACTGTTGTCAACTTGTTCATAAAAAACACCGTGTCTTTCAGACCTGAAATCGCATCAAACTACTACTTTTGATTATTATAAAATTATTTGTGACTTTAACTAGACAAAAAATGACAACCCCTCAAATTGTGGTACTAGTTTTAAATTTTTTCGTTAACTTTGTTTATTAACCGGTATAAGACATTTGAAACAAAAAGATTAAGAAAAATAAATAAAAAAAAAAAGAGAGAGAGAAAGAGAATCTTGTTTTAGTAAGGAGAGGTGGCAGTATGGAGGCGCTGTAGATACTGAGCACCCACCGCCGCCCAGCAGATAATCTGAAAAGCTGGAACAACTTGGAAGCTTTTGGTTGTGCGTGCGTTTCGAATAAAGTTCTTAATCACAATAAATCAGTACTGACTCATTTTTGGAGGTAAATGAATTTAGGATTATAATTTTGAGACGCTGCCAATTGATATCTATATGACTTTACATATATATTATCTTACGTAGTTTGGCACTTTTGTTGAGATTAAAAAACAAAAGTACGTACNAATATAGCATATACTATGTATTAACTGTCAAATTAACTAGTAGGAAATACTTTGGGATATTTATAATATGGGGATTTTGATGTTGCTCCATCGAGCAGGCCAGAGTCATCCCAAAGATTGGTGGAGTACTTCAGCCCGGTCTCAATTTTTCACCTTTGTTAATTTTATACAAGTAAAAAAAATATATTAGCGCATGTTACATTAAATTAGTCCAATATTAACTTTATTCAAGATCAAAATAAGTTAAAGTTATTTTACATTAATTCAATGAATTATATATTTCAACATGATTTAAATTTCTTTCTACTTTTTTTTTTAGATTATTATGCCTTTTTTATGTCATTTTTGTGTTTACTTTTTACTATTTGTTTAAATAGATTTTATTTGAATAATTTTATTCAAGACAATATTTTATTGTTTAGACTTATATTAGAATACTTAGTATGTAATTGAATTTATAGATTTCAAAATCAATTTTATATATTCACTGAATTTTAAAAAAATGATAGTTGATTATATAAAATTTACTACTAAATCTCATTTATTTGTCAAACAAATTCACTTAAATGACATATGTAATTTAAATGACATGTCATATAATAAGAATGATGAGACTATAAGAGTACTGTTATATATATAGTAGCTCTTTTAATAAATTATGTTGTTTATTTAATTAAAGTTCAAGTACATGAGAAAATTTTTCTTTGTAAATATTTTAAAGAAAACAATAATGAAACAATTAAAAATAAAAATTTATCATATGTATAAGAGAGCAGTTAAGAACTCACAAGTTTTTGTTAAAGGAGTGTCATCTCCATATAAAATACGAATAGTTAGAAAGTCAAATAATTTTCATTTTATAAATGCAACATTCACATTTTGATATTATTTATTGTGTGATTAATTTCATTTATATTTAATTTAGAATTATTTTCATACTTTGACTTTCTTATACATGGGTCTATCTAGATTTTTCGAATCGAGTATTTAAAGTTTGAACTTGTGCTCATTTGATAAATGAGTTGTCGCTGCTCAGCTCGTTTAATAAATAAATAAAAGTTTAGCTTGGGTACAACTCGTATAAACTCAGTTTAAGTCATTTAACAAACTTTAAAACATAGACCAAAACCCAAAGCTCTACTGAATTACTCGCGAACACGTTTGAATCGACTTGTTTGATAGACAAACTCGATTAGCTGTTCGAGTTTGGCTCGTTTAAATATACAAGAAAATCAAACTCAAACTTTTAGAAATTGAGTCGAACTATGTTAGCTGACAACTCCTTTCGAATAACAGCTGCATATTTTGCAGCCTCGGGTGAAAAATTTTTCTGGCTACGCCCCTGCACATTGAGCATAATAAAAATATTAAAAATAAGGAAAGATAGAGCCCATATATAGCTTTAGTTTGAGATTGTACATTATCGACACTGTTAGATTTATAGAAATCATTTGCATATTGTCTCTTCTCCCATTTTTTCAAATTTGAAAGTTACAAACAATTTCTTTATCTTTGTTGAAAATTCTAACTATTAGAATATCACTTGTGAGTTGTCAATATCGTTTATACAGGGAAAATAGGCATAACTCATAAGCCTAGTGAGCTACTCCTCCTAATACAAATTGGTTTTGGGGTGGAACCTCACTATTGTGCATCTAGACTCACCCTCTTACGGTGCGCTTAACGTGCATGGGATTGCACCCGTTTCTCCCCATTCTTACATGGTATCAGAGTCGGCCTACGTGGGACTTGCGATACGTACCCGTCGTACCCGGACTACTATGTGGGCTTGGACTTCGTATGAAGGACTCATAAGTGAGGGGTTGTATTAGAATATAACTTGCGAGTTGTCTCACATTGTTTGTATTAGAATATCACTTGTGAGTTGTCCCACATCGTTTATGAAGGAAAAATAAGCCTAACTTATACGTCTAGTGGACTACTACTCCTACTACCATGGTTTTGGGATGGAACCTCACTATGGTGCATCTATGCTCACCCTCTTATGGTGCGCTTCACGTGCATGGGACTGCACCCATTTCCCCCGATTCTTTCAATAACTATTGTACCAATTCCGAGTTAAATCGTAAAGTCTTTGTATTATATTAAGGGCAGTTGCTAAGAATCGTGAGCACTTGTACGTGTTGCATTTTTAGTATAATATCTAATATTGGCCTCGACTTTTATTTATCATTTATCTCATCTTTTCTTAAAAACAACGAAATTTATCCAATGTTTTGCAATATATTCGATCAATTAGGATATCTTACGCTTGATGATTGGACTTATTGATATAATAAGAATATTGAGTAAAATTAGTTGATAATTATAAGTTAGTTGAAACAAAAATATCAGTAAACTTATTTGAAACACTATGTAAAAAGAAAAAAGAAAAAAAAAACGTTTGAAATAAGTTCGTGCTTTTGTAAAATGTCCATCATATAACATCCAAACTTAATTGAATACAAAAAAATTATATTGTTAGAATGATGCCATGCACGACGACATCAAGAAAGCCACGCTGGCAGCACACATCATCAACCTGCATGGCAGAGCATGGACCCCATGCAAAGGGACAAAAGATCCCAACAGTTTTCAACTGAAAAATGATAAGGGAATAAGCTGTCAAAAGTTTAAAAATTTTCCCCTTCTCGTCCTTGTTACCTTATCCTCTTGTATCTAGATCCATCTATTCTAGGCTATATGTAGGAGTTTTGGGCATCTGAAACCTTGTACACATTTTCATTCAAGAACACAATGAATACAATGCCTTTGTTTTCTCGTTTTTGCTTCTTGTTGTGTTTTCGACATGGTATTAGAGCGGGGTTTTCAAACTTGTCTCTGATTCATGGAACAACATTCTTTACTGCATCACATTTGTTAATTCTCTTTTTCGTTTATCATGTCAACCACTAGTGAATCGACCTCTGCCCCTCAAATGTTTCTTATTCAGCCTTAAAGCTAAATATTGACCACCAAACTCACAGAAACTAATTACTTGATCTAGAAGCAGCAACTCATCACTGCTATTCAAGGTTATGGTCTTGGATGTTTCATCACTTGCCAGAAATCTGCTCCAGACCGATTCATTTCAGTCACAGATGCTTAAGGATCCATTGCTCCCAGTCCAAATCCAGACTATGAAATATGGCTAAGGCAAGACCAGTTTTGGCTTCATGGATCGTATCTTCTCTGTCTATGAATCTGTTGGTTCTCATGGTCGGTCTAGAGAGCTTAAAAGAGATGTTGGATTCCCTATCAGTTAACTTTGCTACCCAGTCTCAAGACAAAAAGATGCAGTACAAGATGAAGATTCAAAACCTTAAAAAGGGATCCATAAATATGAGAGATTATCTTGGAAAGGTGAAATGTTGTTGTGATGTTTTAGCTTCTATAGTGAAATGGTATTAGAGAAAGACCAAATCTTACACATCTTCTCTGTTCTTGGTCAAGAGTACAACCCTATTATGAAATCTCCACCTCAAGACTAGAGCCTTATTCCTCATGAGATATTCATGCTTTCTTACTAAGTTATGAGGCTAGGTTGGACTCTTTATCCACTGTGGTAGCTGTGAACTCAGAAGGATCAAACCCTAGTGTCACCTCTCTATTCCGTCTGGATCCCAATAAGATGAAAGAGTATATAATCATCAAGGTGTAAGAGAGAGGTTCAATGGTAACAACCGTTGTAGAAATGGAAGAGGTAGAGGTTTTTATAGAGGAATAGGTGGAAGGAATGGCAATGGGCCAAGGTTTGTATGTCAGGTCTGCAACAAAGAAGGTCTTACAACAAATAGGTGCTATTACCGCTACGACAGTAACTACAATGGTTTTCCACCTCAGAAAGACTTCAATGCTCAAAACCAGGCTCTCTATGCAGGTAGTACTTTTAGGAGCTCCAATTGGCCTACAAATGATTTTCAAACTGAGGCCTGGTATCCTAATTCAGGGGCAACAAATCATGTTACAAGTTAATTTGGGAATCTAAGTGTTGCAAGTGAGTATCATGGAGAAAACATGTTCCAAGTAGGCAATGGTGCAGGTTTGACCGTTCTTCATACTCTTAGATCTTTAATAAATTCAGAGTTTACAAGTTTGGCACAAAAACCTTTGATCCTTAAAAACCTCTTACATGTGCCTGAAATAACCAAAAACCTCTTGAGTGTCGCTCATTTTGCTAATTATATTCAAGTCTTTTTTTAGTTTCACCCTAAGTTTTGCCTTTTGAAGGATATAGCAAAAAAGGAGATCTTACTCTGAGGGAAGCTCAATGATGGTTTGTACTTCTTCAACCTTCCAAGAGTCACCCCTTGTTCCAAGAATCAGTATCCTTCTTTAGAGGAAATTTCTTTTAAGAGTATTTAACTAGTTTAGCTCCAGTTAAGAGAGAAAGCTTGATGTTTGGCATTTAGAATGGGACATGCACCTTTGAGTGTTGTTAGAAAGGGTTTAAATCAATGTAATGTTCCCTATTCTGAATCAAATAATGCTGAAAATTTATGTGAAGTTTGTATGAAAGCTAAGAGAAAAGTTCTTCCCTTCAATACCTCTCATTCTAAATATCATCAATCATTATCACTATGCATAGTGATCTATATAGACCTTCCCCAATCAAATCCAAAGATAGTTTTTACTAGTATGTTAGCTTCATAGATCATGCCACCAAATACACATGGATCCACTTTCTTAAAACCAAAGGGGAAACCTTAAAAATCTTTCAACACTTCAAGAATCTTGTAGAAAACCAACTTAACAAAAAAAAATCAAAACTCTTCAAACAGATGGGGGATGTGAATTCCAAGATTTGCAAAGCTTGCTTGATGCATATGTCATTCAAATAGATTTTCTTGTCCTTATACCCCTCAACAAAATGGAGTAACTGAGAGGAAACATAGGCATATCATTGAAGTAAGGATTTCCTTATTGGCTCAGTCCAATCTACCCAAGAATTTATGGGATGATTCTTTTGCCAAAACTGTCTATGTCATTAATAGAACTCCAGCCAAGCTGCTTGATTTTAAGACACCCCTTGAGAAGCTTTATAAGCATAATCCAAACTGCAGTATGATGAGGGTCTTAGGATGTCTTTGCAAGCCTCATTTGAGAGCCATGAACAAACACAAACTTGAGTTTAGGTCCCAGCCTTGTGTCTTTCTTGGATACAACTCTAAGTATAAGGGCTATAAAGATTTGTTACTAAATAGAAAAGTCATCATCACTAGAAATGTTGTCTTTAATGAAGAGGTTTTTCCATATCAAAAAAATACCTCACAGATCCCCCTCCAGCCTTATCCCAAATCACTCTTTCAGCTCCCCTTATCATTATTCACAAAGCTAATTCTGGTACACCTGAACCTCCTACCCTACCTCAACTTCATACACCACCCTCAAATAATTATACTACTTATTATTCCTCTCCTCACACTGTAACACCCCGCCTTCTATAACTAGAATAATAAAAATCAGAGTTAAATTTTGCTTTTTATTTTCCAAAAACGCTAACTTTATTTTCGAAAATACTATAACTGTCTTGCGGGATGTTACTAACTTACTATTCTTATCTCTTCCTCATGCAGACATAATTAATACATGCAACCGAATCGAATCCATTTAATAAAGGTACCATGGAGATAAGGGTATTACACATGCATAAATCTGAAGTTCTCATACTGGGTCTGAAAATGAGGAAGCTAAAGCATAATAAACACATGCATAGTTAAAACTACATGTTCATCATACATGACATAAAATGCATGTCAAAATGTCCACTGAGCTCATGACCATGACTACCACGAGTGCTCACGCGCCACGCTGGACTCTGTCACCTAAAAAGAAAGTTAGTGGGGACGTGAGCAAAACCACTATGCTCTGCATAAATCAGTACTGAATACAACAACATCAATAATAACAATATCATGACTTAAGCATATAAATAACTGAATTATTCTTAACTGTATCTTTTATTAACTCTCGATGGCTATGCCGATAAATCTGAATTAATCTGTTCATAATTGTTTATTAACTCCCGGCGGCTATGCTAGTAAATCTGAATTAATCTGATCTGTATTGTTTATTAACTCCCGGCAGCTATGACGGTAAATCTGAATTAATTTGATCTGTATTTATTAAGTCCCGGCTCAGCTGTGCTGCTAAATCATGTGCACACTCTGATGGAGCATTAAGGCCCGCTAGTGCCTCCACCAGAACCTACGATGGGACTTTAAGGCCCGTTGTGCCTCCACCAAGGCGATATAACTTGAACCTAGGATAGAACTTTGAGGCCCGCTGTGCCTCCACCCAGGCGATAAAACTTGAACCTAGGATGGGACTTTAAGGCCCTCTGTGCCTCCTCCCTTGGCGATATAACTTTTCTCTATATACCTCGGACATGGTAAAGTAATTAAAGACGATGTAGTACCTCCACCTGATAGGCTGCTAGGCAAGTGCTGGATGAATGGTAACTGTCGGAAACTCGACTCTCCTTAAGCTACACAATAATTGAACAAAATATTCTAAGTACTAAGCTCAATCTGAAAAACTTAAATCGTATTATCTGATCTTACTAGGTTCGCTCGCTGGATTTTAAACTCATTTTAGGATTTACGAGCTAATTTGAAAAACTATTGTCTTGAGGCTTTTAGAGTTCTCTAAAATATTTCTAAGTGTGAAACTATATTCTGAGTGAAACTTAATCCGGCTTTATCTTAACTGGCTAGGCTCTGACAATTACCAAATCTGGAGCTAATATGTCTGCTTTAAACTGAATTTGACTTGGTTCAAAAAATACTGGAATCTCGGTTCATGCTCAAACTGAGTTCCTAACTTAAAACTCACGAAACGTCCGAACTGGTTCGGCTGAACTGAAAATTTCAAGAGCCGTCCGGACTGCCCAGACTGGTTCGGTTAAACTGGAAATTCTCACGAACCGTACGGAATGATTCGGCTGAACTGGAAATTCTCAAGAACCATCCGGACTGGTTCGACTAAACTGGATCGATCGATCGGAACCGATCGGTCACTCATTTGCTAGGTGCAACTCGGATCTAGAAATTTACTCGGTATTCAAAAAGGCCGAACTAGGGTTTTCTACTACCGGACAAACCTACACATTTTAAGCAGAAACTTTAACCCTATGTTCAACATGATTTATAATGATTTTAGATCTAACAATGCACCTAAATCACAACCGGATCAATTTCTAAAAATATCGCGAATAAAGGCTAAAGTCCCAAATTTTAAACCATATCAAACGATCTCCAAAAATCATGTAAATTTAACCATCGCAACTTCAACATATTTATGATTTTTGGTAAAAGGATCTCAGCTAAATAAATTCTATAACTCAATCAGCAAAAATCGGGCATGATAGATCTGAATCCACAAAATCGGTTCGCATAGCAAACGAACTCCAAAATTCACAAAATTTGAACCTAAGCCTCAAGACATCAAGATAGGATTTATAAAATTAAAATCGTAATTTTTGGATCAACTCACCATTTATTATGATTTTCTAGCCGTTAAATCCATATAAATTCATATCTCATTCAATTTCCTCATTTATCAATTTTAAAATAAATTACAATACTTGTCTAATCTCATGGAATAAGGGATTTAGCCGATATACCTCAGCAAGGACTCAGAACAAAAATTGAAAAATGGACTAGGCGAGGGAAATGCGACATGGGCTTGGATCTGGCTGGGTTGGGGCTGAGGCTCGTGGATCTGGTGCTGGACAACTTGGTTCTAGTGCGTGGCTGCACGAGAGAGCTCGATTCCGTGGGTGCTGGTTCGAACCTGGACCGAGTGTGGTCGGCGTGCTTGTCGTGCAAGGGCTCGCGAGCGTACGACACTGGGATAGCTGGGGATTCGCGGATCTAGCGAGCTGTAGTACGGACGCGCGAGCTAGATTGCTGGGGATGGTGTACGATGCGAGCTGACGTGAAGGGTGCGCGAGGCTCGGCGTGGATTCAGGCTCGCTGCGGGTGTACGGACGTCGAACAGCTGGGCTGTGTCGTGACCGGGAGATGGGCTTGCGTACGGACCGCTGAAGCTAGACTGAGCTCGCGTGGAACGGGGCGCATATGGATGGCAGCGAGGTGCTCGGATCTGGTGCGTGTGTGAGCTGTGGTCGCCGGAACTGGGAATGGGCTCGCATTACACGGTAAGGTTTATCAACACCCACCTGATCAGTCGAGATAGACAGATACACAATAATCAGCAGAAGATAGGCAGAGGGCTCAACTCCTCATTAATCTATAGTTAATAATATTTATCTTATTATTATATGTGATATCAGATAAGCAGACAACACAGACAAGGCAGATAAAATCAGATAATCAAATAATTCACATAAGGCAGATAAGACAAGCAAAAAATGATACTGACTAACTGGACTGATCTAATCGGCCATATACTGAGCTATATAACTCTTATCTGACGGGACTATGAACCGGTCTAAGGGTTCCCAATTACCTTAATTATATAAGGCGAAATGGACCCTTAAACTCCATGAATTTTATAAAATAACACATAACTCATAAATTCTGACACTTAGCAGTTAAATAGTCCACATATTCAAGTATCTTTTGTAAAAATTTCAAGTCAAAATCTTAACAATAGACAGGTCAACTATTCAGCTTAACATTGCACATAAACATGAGATGGACACCTGCTGCTTTAAGAATTTCTCTAAAATTCTATACTCATCATTTTAAGCTGAATTTTGACATTAATGATCACAACTCATGCAAGAAATAATCCAAAAAATTTCAAATCGAAATCATGAGTATATGGTGAGAAAATTCTAAATCAATTGTAGACTAACATGCTGAGACTCAAATATTTTTAATTCACTCAATACACATCATCTAGGGCTTAAATTTTATATACATACTCTCAACACATATATAAAGATGTCATACAATTTTCGTATTAATATCATGGTCGAAAGGCTGAGATATAACAATATGAAGTTACACTTAGAAACATGAGTTATAAATTGAATTAACACATCAAACTTCAAAATACCCTACAACATGCTATATACCTCAAAACTATCTGAAATTCGATATACTTAACCATAACACATACAAGAAATACTATGTAAAATTTAAAACCAAATGGACAAGTGTAGGTAGAAAAAAAATCAAATTAAACTTGCTGCAATATCATGAATTCGAAAAATCTCATACCTAGTCATCTCAAAGCATATTCTCAAACATAAATATCTAAATTAAAGCCACCTCAAATACACATAAAAGCACATATATATACACATATTCTCAGCCCAAAATCTAGACTAAAAGGGTCTTGGCTTGGTTACCTTTCTTCGGTTCCATAACAAGGCAAAAAGGCTCGATTTGGGCTAGGTCTCGGCTTTTGGGTCTGTGCTGGATATAAGGCTCGATTTGATGGCTGAGGATAGCTCAAGGAGTGCTTCTAGATGATGGTGAGGGGGTCTTCTCATGCTGCACGTTAGAACTTGGCTCCGCCGGTGGTGCTCTCGGTGTTGGAGTATGCGCGAGGGATTGACGAGGGCTTGGTGATGGTTTTTTGGGCGATTTGTTCAATGATTCTAAGAGCATTGAGAGAGTATTTGAGGGACAAGAATTTCAGACTTTACTAAGGGGAAAGGAAGGAGAATGGCGTGTGGAAATGAGGGAGGAGGTGAATGATTTTTCTTAAATTGCTAAGGCATTCAACGAGGATTATTGCCTACTATATTTAACATGCAATCAAGGCGCTGGTCAATATTATTCTATAAAGGCTTGACACACAATTAAATTTCAAATGAAAGAAATGAGATAAAATTACTAAGGCACATTGGATCATCAAGGTTCAAAGGGGCGGCATATGGGCTGCATTTTGAGCATTTATGGGCTGAAAGTAGGCAAGGACTTGGGCAAAATAATATTCAATGCTCGGATTAAAATGACATTAAAACAAGTCGAAACGGTTAAGAATTGGTTTTACGCGATTGAACCGAACATCGCCGAACAATTAATCTAGTAACGAATTAATTCTAACTAACCAATCACACCACAATAAATATTGATATAGGATATTATATACTAGACCAACCTTAATGGATAAAAAGGGAATATATGGAAGAATAAGCCTATACATGGCTAGGATACGTGGCATGATGCTATGGTACAAGCCCAACTAGGGTCATAAGGTACATCCCCTCTATAAAAGGGGGCTAAGGTATCTCATCCTCTCAATCTCTCTCTAAATTCATTACCATATTCTTGGGATTTGGAGTGATACTGACTTGAGCGTTGGAGGCCCGACGCCGGGACCCCTCCCGGCATTGGGTTCTTGCAGGTACGGAGGCCGTTCGAGTCGAAGGAGACCGAGTGAAATCTTATTCACTTCATGAAAGGGAGTTTGAAAATTATGCTTAACTTTTTATATCTTGTTCGATATAACTATGCATTTGATGGGACTAACGACAATAGTCAATTACTATTCTGTCTCGTGGTGTTTGGTGTGTTTTCTTGTCGACCTCAGTGGTAGGTCGAAATGTTCGAGCAGTTCAGAAGACAAAAATCCACCATGACTAAGGCCTCCGGGATGGGTGGTCGCATGTAACGACCACTCCTTTGAGGGTGGGCATGTGCTCGAAAAAGAAAATCCATCATGACTAAGGCCTCCGGGATGGGTGGTCACATGTAACGACCACTCCTTCGAGGGTGGACATGTGTTCGAAGACAAAAATCCACCATGACTAAGGCCTCCGGGCTGGGTGGTCGCATGTAACGACCACTTATTTGAGGGTGGGCATGTGCTCGAAGACAAAAATCCACCATGACTAAGGCCTCCGAGCTGGGTGGTCGCATGTAACGACCACTCCTTTGAGGGTGGACATGTGCTTGAAGACAAAAATCCACCATGACTAAGGTCTCCGGGCTGGGTGGTCGCATGTAACGACCACTCCTTTGAGGGTGGACATGTGCTCGAAGACAAAAATCCACCAGGACTAAGGCCTCCGGGTTGGGTGGTCGCATGTAATGACCACTCCTTTGAGAGGTGGACATGTGTTCAAAGACTAAAATCCACCATGACTAAGGCCTCCAGGCTGGGTGGTCGCATGTAACGGCCACTCTTTTGAGTGTGGACATGTGCTCGAAGACAAAAATCCACCTAGGTGGTCACATGTAACGACCACTCCTTCGAGGGTGGACATGTGTTCGAAGACCAAAATCCACCATGACTAAGGCCTCCGAGCTGGGTGGTCACATGTAACGACCACTCCTTCGAGGGTGGACATGTGTTCGAAGACCAAAATCCACCATGATTAAGGCCTCTGGGCTGGGTGGTCGATTCTAGTGTTGGGTCGGTGAAGACATGGATCCTATGGGAGACCTCGGTAGCAGGTCGATGATCTCTATTTGATTCTTGGTTTCGTCGAATTTATTTTTTGACTTGAAGAGAAGGGAGATGGAGTTCATTACGGATAGCTAGAGCAGACCTCAGTGGCAAGTCGATGATCTTTATTCGATTCTTGGTTTCGTCGAATCTATTTTTCGACTCCAAGGGCAGGGAGATGGAGTTCATTACAGATAGCGTGTGCAGACCTCGGTAAAAGGTTGATGGCTTACTGGATTTCAGTTTTGTTGATATTCATTATTGCTCGAGCAGTGGCAGGTTGATGGTATTAATTATTGTTCGAGCAGGTTGATGGTTTCCGCTTGGTTTGGTCTTGTCGAATTTATTTTTAGACCTCGGTGGCAGGTCGAGGGAGTTCACTCGGAGCAGTTCATGGAGTCAAGTTATTCAGGTTGATGATTTGGTTTTGTCGAAATTCGGCTTTCGACTTCGGTGTGGTGTCAGGACATTCGGTTTTCTTAGATAAACAGCAGGGTTGAATTTCAAATTTTGAACTGAGGGGGCGATGATAGGACGAGGTGGTAGGAAAGGTCAATCTTTGAATGGAGAGAGCTCGAACATGGTGATCGAAAAACAACAAGACGTAAGTTCAAATATTTAAATTCAAGACTTCAGTTTTCGGTGTTCGACCCCAGTGGCGAGTCACTCAGTTTTCGACCTCAGTGGTCGTTCAACTTTCGGTGTTCGACCCAGTGGCGACTCTCTCGATTTTCGACCTCAGTGGTCGTTCAACTTTCGGTATTCGACCCCAGTGGTGGGTCGTTCAAAGGAGTGGTCGTTACATGCGACCACCCAGCCCGGAGGCCTTAGTCATGGTAGATTTTGGTCTTCGAGCACATGTCCACCCTCAAAGGCGTGGTCGTTACATGCGACCACCGAGCCCGGAGGCCTTAGTCATGGTGGATTTTTGTCTTCGAGCACATGTCCACCCTCAAAGGAGTGGTCGTTACATGCGACCACCCAGCCCGGAGGCCTTAGTCATGGTGGATTTTTGTCTTCGAGCACATGCCCATTCTCAAAGGAGTGGTCGTTACATGAGACCACCCAGCTCGGAGGCCTTAGTCATGGTGGATTTTTGTCTTCGAGCACATGTCCACCCTCAAAGGAGTGATCGTTACATGCGACCACTCAGCCCGGAGGCCTTAGTCATGGTGTATTTTTGTCTTCTGAACTGCTCGAACATTTCGAATTGAGGACATTTTGTGGTTGTCCTTACCATGTGTTTAGTGCATTTATTGATGGGCTCGAGAGATGGATTAAAATTATGTGATTTGATATATTGATATACTCGGAACCTCTCGCTTAGATTTTTATGGGAAAATGAGGAATTTTGTTCGAATTGATTATTCATAGTTTTTAAGCATGTCATTGCTCGAGCATGTCTTAAATCGAGGAGATGGTGATGATTGTATATGATCTCTTGTTTTTCTTGCGTGGAGAACTGCAAAATGGATGATGTGAAAATAATATGGATAATGATATCTCTTTGAATTCTTGTCGAGGAAACAACGAAATAACCCGAGTCTCAACAAGCTATGGCGAAGGAGGGACGAGTCTGGATGGTGCCGATCGCAGGTGGCAATTTCAGAGGCAGAAATCATTCTCTTTTGGAGAGGTAGGATAATTGGGAGTGGCATTCTCGACTTTCAGGTATAAA